CACATTTTCCTTTCAGTTCAGCGAATCCTGAACAATGTGATGTCACGGTCAGGAACGGGGACTGGAGGAGAGAAAAACAGAAAATCTGACCGAAACAGCTTTCAGAGTTTAGAAAACTTCTGGTTTCTTGGAAGCGAAGGACAAAGGAAAGACGTTTCATCAGTTTCATGAACCGCAGAACGCCCTGAAAAGACATTAAACAGCGAACGCCACGATACGTGCACGTGTGTGTGTCACAGAGCAGATGATCCCGTTCGTGTTTCCGGCTCGGGTTTCTTCTCATTCTTATGTTGAACCTTCCCAGCCGTGGAGGTTTAGTGTGACAGGGTGAAGGCTGAGTGGCTCTGGGGTCTCCTTTACCGCTTCACGTCGTGCTAATTTCACCCAGACGTCACACTTCGGCTCGGGCGGAGGCCATGTTCAGGAAGAGGAGCTGGCGACAATAACACACCCCTAAAGTCGATAACTTTATCGATATTTATAATCAAGACTTTATTAATCCCAGAGGGAAATTATATATATAATTATATATATAGTATATGTTTAATATTAGATTTTTGAACGATGATGTCATCAATGGGCCACATAAAACTGACTACATGAAGAGAATAGGAGCTCAATGCTGACCTGCACCTCACCGCGAACGCCAGAGGCACGAACCCCTACCCTACTCATGTCCCGCTGTCTGACATTAAACCAGAAAGAAGGAAATCACGTTTACGTCGCTGTTTGGTGTCGTACATGATGTTGTTCCTCCTCAGTGCCAGGACTAAAGCCAGAAACACACCGCTTCACTTCTGGAACCATGCAGGGAGAAGTCCCTCTGGGAGTAATAAAGTATTGTTGAGTTGAATAAGCTGTCGGGTCGCTTGTAACGGTGAAATCTGTATCGATATTAAATCACATCCCTGCCATGGACTTTTATTTTGAAAATCACTGGGAGTTTTATACTGAAACTGTGTGTGTGATTTCCTGTCTGGCCCTATGACAGCTGGTTTGAGTCACCCCCGTGGACTCTGACGGGTTCTGCTGGCGCTGCTGGGTCCAGTGTGCAGTCGGCCTTAACGGTGAAACTAGGATTTATGAACACATGAATGTCGGTTAAAAATGAAGCGTGCTGCTTGGCTGAGACTGGTGGTCTGTTTATGGGAATGGAAACATCTGCTCTTAGTAGTCCACTAATATGCACATTAATGCTTAGTTTGTGTTTCCTGATAAGGTGAATACACCTGCAGCTGATCTACAGTACAGGTGTTGGTTCCATTACCTCAAACTGGTCCCGTTTTATTGTTGAGGCGATCACTGGCGGTGCAGGTAAATCATTACAGACGAGGTTAGAAACAGGTTTGTGGTTTGAACTCATGCCCTGCGTCTCCTGCAGACCTTCACGCGAGGTAAACCTCATGATGCAGGGGCAGAAGCGTGACCGTGGGGGGGTCAAACCGTATAAATGTATACACGTCCTCATTAAAGAGAGCTCAACATGATCGTGTTCTCGCTCCTCTAAAGTCCTTTTAGGAAAAACGAGGATTAAAGCAGAGCAGCACTACTAATTATTTACAGTCTGCATGCATGGCATAAGGACGCACTCGTACAGCAGAAAGTTCAAAATGAGCCGATCACTGCAGTCAGCAGGTTCCTCACAACAATGGTTTACTTATTCGTTTGGAGGCCAAAGATGTTGTCATGAATAAAAATGAAGGGATTAGAAAATAAAAAAGAGGAAATAGTTTTAAATATGTAAGAAACTTTATTATTTTAACACAATGCTCTCATGCTCATGAGCAAACTGACGACCGTGCAGCTCAGGGATGGGATGAGAACCAGAAGAATAACATAAATGTGATGAAAAGGGAAACCCAGAATCAAACCAAGGGAGGAAGACTGTTTTGAACGGACATAAAAAGGTGAAAGTGCCATTAAAGGGTCTCGGCGGGGTTTTCTTCATCAAGGTTTCCTTTGACTAGTGGACGATTTCAAACACACACAACGTCATGTTTCATCTCTTCTCCTCTCAGAATGCTCTGGCAAGCTTTGAACACAGCTTCCTTTTTGTTTCCAGTGCCAGAGGTCAAAAGAGCGCACTTCAAACAGGAAGTACGCTCACAACCTTCTGCGATGGCTCCTCCTGCAGAATGCACTCGTTGTTGGACAACCACAAAGCTTTTAAAGGACTTCTATTGATTCGGATCTTCTTTGGAGTTCATGGAGATTCTAATCTGAAAACCCTGAAAACTAAATTCAAAACAACTATTTTACTTTTTAAACAGAGAAATCCTCTCTTTCTCAAACATGGCTGAACCCAAAGTTCTGATTGCAGTTTGCAGCTCAGATATTCACTTAATTATTCCCGTTGAAGCAGCAGCTGCCAGCAGAAGGCTTTCAGGGTCACAGAGAGAGTTCACGGACGACGGAGGGTGAACAATCTTTATGTTTTCTCCCACTTTTCTCCTCCTCTCTTGTGCTATTATTCTGCCAGAAGCTGACACTGCTCCCCTGCTCGCTTCACTCCACTCCCCACTCCCCGCTCCTCGCTCCCCACTCCCCACTCCCCGCTCCCCACTCCCGGCTCTGTGAAGGGAATTAATTAGTGCAGCGGTTTGAACTTGGGCTGAGTGCAGGGCTGCAGAGGGACTGTGAGTGCAGAGAGGGATTTGATAAGGACGCTGGGTTGTGGATAGACAAGAGAGTGTGTGTGTGTGTGTGTGTGTGTGTGTGTGTGTGTGTGTGTGTGTGTGTGTGTGTGTGTGTGTGTGTGTGTGTGTGTGTGTGTGTGTGTGCGCGCGCGTGCGTGTGCGTGTGCGTGTGTGCGTGTGCGCGTGCGTGCGTGTGTGCGTGCGTGCGTGTGTGCGTGCGTGTGTGTGTGTGTGTGCGTGTGTGTGTGAGAACACACACTACCAGTGAGATGACTTTTGAGTCTCGGGTCAAATGTTTGCTGACATGAACGCGGTCGGGTTTAATTATTTTAAAGTGGAAACGCTGAACTTTCTTTTCTTGACTAGAATTTAAAGGGACAGTTCAGCCTGTTGGAAATTAGCTTGTTTAGTAGAGTTTGACACGGTTTTGCTTTTTCTGTACTTGTAGCTTTGAACACATCGAGTGTGCATTGCTCTGCTGCAGCTGCACATGCTAGTTGTTGCTTGAGCTCATTTGCATAAAACCCAAAATTAAAAAGCAAACCATCAACGTGCGAGTTTAGAAGTGATTTTCAGTTTTTTGTTGACTAAAATTACAGAAAAGAGATTTTCTGGTTCTGCAGTGTTGTCGGTACAGTGACGATGTCATGTTTGTTTATTAAAACGGATCAACAAACAAACAAACCTGAAGATGACACATTTGGAAATGCAGTTTAACTTACTCTCTGGGAAGTTATCATTCGGTGCAGCTGCAAGTTTCCGTTTAGAGATCAGAACATGAGGCTTTCTAACCTCAGAAAACTCTTTTAACTGTGAAGCATGGTGGTGGCAGCATCATGCTGGACACAACCAGATGTTCCAACAGGACAATGTTCCCAACGCATATCTGAGCTGGTTTCTGATTGGATGAAGGGGAAATGTTCTTCCTAAAGCCCTAATCCTAACTCACTAGTGGACATGGAAACTTGGTCTGAGCCAGAAAACTCAAGTTTAAATGAACTCTACCAAAATCTGCCAAAAAAGAGTCAAAAATCCAGCCTGCACCATGCCAGAGGCCTGCTCATGGCTGGGAGGGAGGGAGGGAGGGAGGGAAGAAGCTAAATAACGTTTAGTAAAGATGCAACACAAACATTTTAAGCACATTTCCTCGGCTGGATGACGCTGTGGAGGATGAAAATGCAGATTTCTGATGTTTTAAATGACGTTACGAGACTAATTATGCATCATGGTCATGTGACTGTTACAGCATTTACAGTCAAATGCCCCACATGACTTGGCCGTATAAACAACCAAGGCAGTGTGAACCCTGCTGAACATTTTCATCTTTTCTTGCCTTTTGTCACCAACTGGTTGTAAACAGTCCCAGTCCAGTGGGATGCCGGCTGTAGACACTTTGTTTTCCCACAAATGCATCATTTAGAGAAAGTTGGATCTTTGTTGCCTCTGATGTCCTCCTCAGCTCCTCCTGTCCTCCACCCTCCGGAGGCATCCAGTCTGTTGTTCCTGACGAGCAGTGAGCCGCCCGAGCCGAGTCCACATGAGCTATGAGTGCAGGAACGTGCAGCTGTGCCAAGCCCCTGGAAGACGAAAGGAACCAGATCCGAATCGTGTTTGTGGAAACTGTCCATCCCTCGTCCGTGTTTATGAAGGCAGTTCTCTCAGCCCTTCAGAACGTTTCCTTGTGACCGGAGAGTCGGGATAAGTCCTCACCTTCATTGTGATGCTGCTGGCGTTGGATTTTCTGATGACTCACTCGGTTTATCGCCATCCTCAGAATATGGAGGTGTTTAACACGAATGATGCATGAGAAGTGACTGATGAGGCTGTGAGAAAACAAACAGCCATGTTGTTGTCATAGCAACACAACGCTAACTAGCTGGTGATTGTGATCAGTCTCCTACTAGCCAGCCGCGAGCGAGCTTCTGCTCTGCTGCTTGCTGCTGCGCCATGATGGAGGGCTTCAATAAGCCAGAACTGTGTCTGTCCTCGCCTCCTCGCCTCTGTCACACACACCGATCTGCCCCCGGTGGTGAAAACACGACCACGCTCCCTCACCCCGCAAAACCCAGGGTCGGTCAGGTGAACGAATGACTGCTCAGCCTGCATTATAACACGCTGACATGTTTAGAGGCGACACTCTGATTAACAGCAAACACACACACACACTCACACACACACGCTCACACACACCTGACTGTCAGACTACTCAGAGAACGGCACAAGCAGCACTGGCAACCCGAGTGCACTCAGGCCACTAACCCTCACCTTACCGATAAGATGTAGAACATCTGGTGTACCCAGATGTAGAACATCTGGGTACACCAGATGTTCTACATCTGGTGTACCCAGATGTAGAACATCTGGTTTACAGGATTTGCATTCAGATCTGAGGTACGCTGACTTTCCCTCGAATGCTTCTGCAGGACAGCGTCATGCACGCCCTGTTGCAGTAAGCTGATTTCTTAGTCATCAAATGAATGAAAACCCAGGAATCACTGATCAGACTGGATGATTATCGAGATCCTCGGAGGCAGATTTCTGTTGGATTTGTGCAACCGAGTGTCCGATTGGCTTATTGATTATTAGTCCTTTTGTTGCAGCAGACAGAGCTCGGGGGCTTTGAGACACGACGATGATAACCAGCTGAATGCAGAATATCCGGGTCATTATTCCCAAAGAAATGCTAACGTGTTCACCAGATGATAACAATACCCACCTTACAGATACTAATGAGCTATTATAATTTCTCTGATCTGTAATCCATTCAGAAAGGATGAAAACCGTAACGATGCAGACCTTGAAGACTTGCTGAGGCCTTGTCATCACCAGGGGTCGTCCGGTCACCCGCCTCCTCCTCCTGCTTCCTGCATCCACACTGCTGCAGATCAGTTTCACTGTCCGTCGAGGCCTCACACCTGCCAGGTTTCATTTGTTTCAGTTTTTGTTGCTGGATCCAGTCTGAGCCTCGCTGTGGCGACACATCCCAGAAGCCAGAGCTGCAACCAAATGAGAGCATAGCATCAGGAAATGCTCTTTCAGTGCAAGTTCAGCCAAACTACCTCTGAGTTTTAATTCTGCGTTCATGTAGAAGGAACAAAATAAAACACCGGACGTAAGTGCAAGGTCAGCGTTTAATTCCTGTAATGTGGATGGCCACAGCTGATAAGCTGCTTCTTTCTGACACATCTGGGGAACTTTATTCTGATTACAGGCTCTGCTGATGAGTGTCCTGTTACCCGTGAAGAGAGAGGCGTCCTGAAGAGGAAACTCGAGAGTGTAACAAGAATCTGAGAGGACTCTGTAGCTCCTGTTGTCTCCTAACACAAAGACAACGACCCATGAAGGCCGGAAGAGACCCGATCCAAGTCCGAGACTTCACTTGTTACAGAACTCTTCCTGTTTGAGTTTCGCTGCAACAACATTAGATTCAGAGCATTTTAACATGATTTGTTACGACGTCTACATGTAACGGGAAAAGCAAACATAACGCAGGACTGAAATGCCTCCCGAATGGAATTTTTCCCAACTTGCCAAGAAACTTCCCCACATCTTGTGTCCTCTAATGGACGATCTTCATTCTGGTGAAGAGCTCCTTGCATCTTTAAGCTTTAACAACGTGCAGGAGCAGCGTTTTCTGCCAACAGCTCAAACGCAGAGGGTTGACTTTCCAGTGGTTGAAAATGAGACTCCGTCTGTGAGATAAAAGAAATGGCGACTGGAAGCTTTTTAAAGCCTGTTGTAGTTCCATTTAATAATTACGTGGACTGAAACGGCTCGTGAGGTGTCACTTTGTGTTTTGGTGACGGATGTCAGCCGATCCGCCTGCTTCTGAATCCTCCTGAGAGAAAAAGGTGAAAACATCTAGTTCTGTCGTTAATAATTGATGCGAGGGGAATGACTGAACTGAAATCGTGAACAAGAGCTGAAAAAAAATCTAATCATCGACAGCGATGGAGTCGGTGAGAGGACTGGAACAGCTCTGCCCACCTGGCAGCCGGCTGCATAGGAATCCCTTTTATGCTGAAAGGGATTCAGAAGTCGGTTGGAAGCCTTGATGTGCAGCAAACCTGCTTTGAATATGAATGATTTCACCCCCGGCGAGGCGAGGCGTGCAGCGCCGGCTCATTCTGAGTGATTCTGCAAACTGGAAGATGTGGAAGTTGGAATTTATTTTTACACAAAAAATCCGCTCAGACAATCCAAATCAGTCGTCTTTAATACAAAATATAAAACTGGTTCTTATGTCATGTTGATACTGATCGGTTCATCGTTGGATTCAGTTTCCAGTTCAGAAGAATCGCGCCCAAACCTACAACTGAACTAGTTTATTGTCATCATTGCTGTCATTTCCAGTGCTGCCGAGTCCGACAGCCAAGCAAGACGCAGGCCGCCATGTTGAGTTTTTACAGTGCTGATGAACATTTGCACGTTTTCATAACCTTTAGCTGACTTTGCTTGCAGGGTTTAGGTTAAACTGTTCAAGATTTCTAGTGAAAACTGAAAATAACATTTTAAATTATTATTTCTGATTATAATCCGGCTCCCTTAAGTTTTTCATGCAGGCTGAACATGAAGATAGTCTCCTACACCTACCTCCTGCAGTAGCTTCTGATAGAAAACAGACGGTGAAACTCTAGGATCAGAAAGGTCGGACAGATCTACGTCACCCTGTCACTAACATTCATGGACTCACCCATCCTGGCTCACAACGGGGAAGGCTGTTGTTGGGTTAGCATCCAGGAAACAGCAGAGAGCATCTTGGCTAGTAGAAGCTAACTGTTAGCATTAGCAACTCCACTACATGGCTGAACTCCTCCAGGCTGGCGCAGAGCAAATGGAGTCAGTGGTAGAGTCAGTGGGGCGACGGTGGCACAGGAGTTAAGTGCTCGCCCCGTAATCAGAAGGTTGCAGGTTCGAGCCCCGCTCGGTCTGTCACTGTCGTTGTGTCCTTGGGCAAGACACTTAACCCACGTTGCCTGCTGGTGGTGGTCGGAGGGACCGGTGGCGCCAGTGCTCGGCAGCCTCGCCTCTGTCAGTGCGCCCCAGGGCAGCTGTGGCTACATCGTAGTTCATCACCACCAGTGTGTGAATGTGTGTGAATGGGTGAATGACTGGTTGTGTTGTAAAGCGCCTTGGGGGGTTCCAGGACTCTAGAAGGCGCTGTATCAAATACAGGCCATTTACCATTAGAGTTGTGTTGCTGTTATCAGTCCAAGGTGAGATGGCCAATTTTCAGGAAATAAGAGTCCAGATCTTTCTTTCTGCTCCAGCTGACTTGCACTTCCTGACACTGAGCTACCCCCGAGTACGACCTACAACGCATTATTTCCTATTAGAGACGACTGCACATGTATTAGCTAAATGAGTGTACCTCACCTTTAAAGAGGAGGTTCAGTAAGGGACGTATAAAACTTTTGAAAGACGACTGGTCACTTTGAACAGTGGTGCTGTGTGCTGATAGGCAGGGCAGGCGATTGGTGTGTGTCCCCAGGCCAAAAGTGAAAGTAGTGACACGGTAAAAGGCTGTCACCCGGCAGCACTGTTAGCCATCTCGCACTCCTTAATGGGGGACCTATGAGAACCTTGTAGCACCCCTGGCTCTGAGTTGCAGATTCATGCTAAATATGAAAATAGTCATTAATCCCCATCATCTGCATTAGCTGCTGGAACAAACTGGACGAGGAGATGCTTGCATCAAAAAAATCCAGGCAGTTCTGTGTCACAGTAAAAATTAGCATTCATGGATCCACTTTGGCTTCTGACTGAGGAAGGCAGTTCTGATTTGGTAGCCAGGAGAGAGCAGAGCACAGCTCAGCTAGTAGAAGCTAGCCGTTAGCATGAGCAACTTCACAACATGGCGAAACACATTTGGGCTAACTAGTGGAAATAACACATTGTTGTATTTTTTACCCATGCATGAAAAGTTAGCGGTGGCCAAATGTTTGCATATCATAACCAACGAGTAAAGCCGGGCGTACACTGCACGATCCAGTTCTCGCATGCGACCTGACTGCTCACACTGTACGTCTGGTAGCAACATGTCGGCCCTAAAAATATGCTAAAAATAGCAGTTTTTAAAGACTCCAAATGCTGCCGGTTTCCTTCTGAGTTTTTATTTAAAAGTTTCTGCAAAACTCCAGCATTATTATTATTATCATCATTATTATTATTATTATTATTATTATTATTATTATTATTATTATTATTATTATTATTATTATTATTATTAGTAGTAGTAGTAGTAGTAGTAGTATTGGTCCAGTAGTAGTAGTAGTAGTAGTAGTAGTAGTAGTAGTAGTATTGGTCCAGTAGTAGTAGTAGTAGTAGTAGTAGTATTGGTTCAGTAGTAGTAGTAGTAGTAGTAGTAGTAGTATTGGTCCAGTAGTAGTAGTAGTAGTAGTAGTAGTAGTGTATTGGTCCAGTAGTAGTAGTAGTAGTAGTAGTAGTAGTATTGGTCCAGTAGTAGTAGTAGTAGTAGTAGTAGTAGTAGTAGTAGTAGTAGTAGTAGTATTGGTCCAGTAGTAGTAGTAGTAGTAGTAGTAGTAGTATTGGTCCAGTAGTAGTAGTAGTAGTAGTAGTAGTAGTAGTAGTAGTAGTAGTAGTAGTAGTAGTATTGGTCCAGTAGTAGTAGTAGTAGTAGTAGTAGTAGTATTGGTTCAGTAGTAGTAGTAGTAGTAGTAGTAGTAGTATTGGTCCAGTAGTAGTAGTAGTAGTAGTAGTAGTAGTATTGGTCCAGTAGTAGTAGTAGTAGTAGTAGTAGAAGTAGTAGTAGTATTGGTCCAGTAGTAGTAGTAGTAGTAGTATTGGTCCAGTAGTAGTAGTAGTAGTAGTAGTAGTATTGGTCCAGTAGTAGTAGTAGTAGTATTGGTCCAGTAGTAGTAGTAGTAGTAGTATTAGTAGTAGTAGTATTGGTCCAGTAGTAGTAGTAGTAGTAGTAGTAGTAGTAGTAGTAGTAGTAGTAGTATTGGTCCAGTAGTAGTAGTAGTAGTAGTAGTATTGGTCCAGTAGTAGTAGTAGTAGTAGTAGTAGTAGTAGTATTGGTCCAGTAGTAGTAGTAGTAGTAGTAGTATTGGTCCAGTAGTAGTAGTGTTGTTACTGGTCCAATCTAAAACTTGCAATGCGTTTGTATATTTCTATAAAAGCAGTCAGATAAACTCCTGTTTGAGAAACACGGATTAAAGCTGGCCTGAGGTGAAGGCTGTCTTCCTGTGCCGTCTTGTTTTGATCACCTGGTCTTCTCTTTTTAATTCCACTCTGAAGTTCTCATCGGTTCCCCATCCTCCCTTTTGGGACGTGGCTGAACCATGCCTGTGTTTGGACTTTTATTGCTACATTCATCCTCTCCTCCTCCTGATTCTGTCCCTTTTATTCCCTCTGTCTCCTTTCATCAGTCCTTATCTCATCCTGTGGACGGATAGTTAATCCGTCCGCTAAAATCATCACATTTTAGCCAGATCCAAACTCTAAAGTTTCAACCATCTCCAGCTAAAGACAGAGGAGATGGAGAATATTTTAGGGTGTAAAAGTAATATGAGGTCATTTGGCTATTCAGATTTTCACTGGTGCATTCGTGCTGTTTTTAAATAGCTGAGTGACTCGATATTTCTCCTCTGCACACCTCCAACCACAGCTCAGCAGACCCCAGCACCCCGGCTGCTGCTGCTGCGGTCTCATCTCACCCCTCTCTTCCCTGGTAGGGATTAAGCTGTTAATCCGCCGGGCCGAGGCTTGCTGTTAGTGCTGTCGGGGCTGCAGTTATCTCTGTTTTCTGATGCATCTGTGCGTGCCTCTGCTGGCCACTGCTGTGACGTGCTCAGGTGCACGTGAGAGGCAGGGAGGGCAGAGGCAGCAAGGGCGTCAGTTTGTTTCCAGAATAGCTGGGGACAATAACCATACACTTGAGTGGGGTTTGAAAATTGCTGGGGACAATAAAGTAGGCTAGCACAGGGGTCGGCGGCTCTGGAGCCGCATGCGGCTCTTCCATCCATCTGATGCGGCTCTGTGTTTGTAAAATAATGAATGGATATTTAAATAAAATGCTTTATATTTTACTGCATTAATTTTACATCTGTATGCCAATTCTAAATGTAAAGATTGTCTGCGTAAACCTGAACAGGTCCAACCCGGTCTTACTGTGAGACCGGGTTGACGCGTCACGCTTGTGCGTAATCATAGGCGCTTTATGAGCTGAAGACGATGTGAGATTCTGGGATTCTCCTCAGACGGCTCCTGGATGTGTCGCCACATTGGAGACAGGAACAAGCGCTATTCAGCCAAAGTTTCATAATCAGGGAACATTTTCTAAGTGACAAGTCTCTCTGAGAGACCGGGTTTGGAAAACACTCGCTTCAGTGGGAGGAACCTTCCCACATGCGCTCTGGTTCTCTGGGTGGCTCTGGGGTTAATCAGGTTTAATTGTTTCTCGTTGCAACAATCTTCACAGGAAGGCAAAACAGTTAAATGGCAGGTTACAGATATTTCCATTTGACTGTATTTTGACAGATGAACTCAAGGATGTTGCTTGGTTTGAAAGAATTACCCCCACGCACACTGATGCGCATGGATGAGCTGACATTTTAATCGTTAACGCACATCGCGGAGGTAAAAGATTCCCATCAGAACATCAGAGCTTTATACTGGACACTGTGTTCAGCGCGGCTCGGAGCGCCCACGGTGGACAGTGAGCTGAAGATCTGGGGTTCGCAGCGCAGCGCAGAACCATGGTGCATGCGATAAGATTTCCTCCCACTGAAACAGTCTGGAAACCCGGTCTCTCTGAGGGATGTGTCACTTGGAAAAATGTTCTTTTTATGAAATTATGAAACTGGCTGAACAGCGCTTGTTCCCGTCTCTAATATGGAGACGCATGACGCGTAGAGACATTTGATCACGCACAAAGTTTATGTGGAGCAGAAGCGGTCGGGCCACGGCAGGTGAAACGTTCCTAGCCTACATGAAGGGAAACTGTTTAATTGTAACATTAATACGTTACTGGACACGCTGGTCTGGTTGGTTAGACCAGTGTTTGAAGTGGAAAACACACACACACACACACACACACACACACACACACACACACCAATTAAAATATATGCTGATAGCGTGGACTAGAAGACAGGTGATGGTTTACGTATTTAAATGATGATCAGGCTGCTGTAAAATGTAATCTCCATCCACATCCAGACAGAATCATCCTCTATTCTGTCTCTATTTGCTCTGCTCTTGTCTGGGCTGATCAGCTGATGGTGCGCCTAACTAGCGGCTGATGCACATTTTACGCATTTGGAGAGGTGGGCTGGATGCTGTGCGTTTACTGGAAGATGGTTAACGCACGGGTGTAGACTACATATTAATGACAAATGAATGAAAATTAAATTGTGAGTTTTAACTTCATATTTTATAAGTAAAAATGACGGGGGAACACATTTATGACGTCTTTTTAAACAAAATTTTCTAGCGCGACCTGCCTGCTTCACTTAAGTCACTGCTTATTAAGGTCCGTCCAGAATTACTGTGGGAAACGGGTAATAATGGCTCTTTGATGGGAACAGGTTGCCGACCCCTGGTAAAAGATCTGAGCTGGTAAAACAAAAATCCTCATCAGCAGGCGATTTTGAAAGTGGGGGGGACACAGCTGCCAATCACAAATTTTGCCGGGGACATGTCCCCGGCGTCCCCGGTTAAAATGACGCCTATGGGTATTGGTGAGTTTGTGAGATTAAATAGTTGGGCAAAGGACAATAGATGATGCCAGGAGGCTCGAGGGTTTCCATCGACTGCCTAAAACGTGTGTGTGTGTGTGTGTGTGTGTGTGTGTGTGTGTGTGTGTGTGTGTGTGTGTGTGTGTGTGTGTGTGTGTGTGTGTGTGTGTGTGTGTGTGTGTGTGTGTGTGTGTGTGTGTGTGTGTGTGTGTGTGTGTGTGTGTGTGTGTGTGTGTGTGTGTGTGTGTGTGTGTGTGTGTGTGTGTGTGTGTGTGTGTGTGTGTGTGTGTGTGTGTGTGTGTGTGTGTGTGTGTGTGTGTGTGTGTGTGTGTGTTTTCTGTTGTAGCTGTGTGATAAACAGCCTGCTGTGCTGATCTGGGATGATAAATAATTGATCCTATAATTGGTTTGGCTCTTTTCTTAGAGCACACACAGACCCCACCTTGCAGCTCCGTTTCCATGTCTGCCCTCACTAATGTCGTCCACCCAGCTGTAGAGCCATGGTTGCCTGGACAAAGTGTTTGCTCGTTTGAGTTGTTCCCTCAGGCGTTTGCAGCCTAATGAGCTGCTTCTCAAGGACAACGAGAGGGGACCAGTACCGCAGATGCATCTGCACGTCTCTGAAGTTTCTGCAACTCTGGAGTGGTTCTACAGAGCTGGAACCTCGAGACGAGGTCCTTCAGATGCAGTCAGAAGTTCTCCAGCTGTTTCCACAGACACACCACAGCCAGTAGCCTGTGCTTAATGTCTGTGCCATGCCATCTGGCTGAGCCCACAAGGATTACAGGACGCTGGCGTTTTACATAACAAGTGTCCTCAGGGATTTTTTAAATGAGTGGAAGTTTATTCAATTTTGACCCTCGTTCTCCCATTAGAGTTGGTGGGAAACAGAATCCATGGTTTAACAGGACTTCACATGTTTCAGACTCTTAAAGAACACGGATTTCTACTTTTGTGTAATTTCATTCTCGTGTTTTGGTTTGATGTAGCTCTCTCTCCATGTTTGTGTGAATGATGAGACTTGTGATTGTTGCTTGCCTGCAGTCTGAGACGAAACCGCGCCCCCTGTTGTGCGCAACGCTCTCAGGGCATAAACGAGGAAGGCAGCATTCCCTCGATGTCCTTGACTTTCACAGAATCCACCAGGAAGCTGACTCCAGAAACATTCCCTGCCTACAGAGACGTCTCCCTCTGAGGACCCACACTGGCTGATCCTGGCTGCTGTTGCGTCTGGCGTCACCTTTACGCAAACTTGAATTTGGGTAAAGTGATCGGTCTCTCCCGCACAACTCCCCATCCCGTGCCTTTCCTCCTCCTCTTCCTCCTCCTCCTGCAGCACCGCCAGGCGAGCTGTAGCGGGACACTTTGAGCGCACCGTCCTCCTGGATGATGCCGGAGATGCAGCTCTGTTCGGATGCTGTTCTGATGGCGTGTGGAAGCCGATGCTGGTCACTGAGACTCCGATGAGGAGTTGAAGAGGTTGCAGTGGGATTGTGACAAAGGCAGAGGGTTTCCACCTGGATGGACACGAGCGCGAGGCTCGCGATGGTAAGCTGCGCTTGATAAGTTAAACTGATGTCTGCAGAGGATGCAGATTAGTTATGTGAAACCATAAAACGGAGACGCGTGGTGTGTTTAATCCCGGAGTAACCAGCAGATTAGATGCGACACAAGCAGGAGATCATTTGGGAACATCATCATCAGAGAAAGCAAGGAAATAATAATTTAAGGTCATCACGTTTGACATTTACTCGTATTTCTGTTTCCACCCCGCGGAGTCTTCTGGGTTGGGTGTTTTAATTATCCGCCTGATTACACTGACTTTAATTAAAGGTCTTTATGTGGATAAGGATTGCCCCACGGTAGGATACCCATGCGTGCACGCGCCTTCCTGCAAGTTGTTGAAAACAGGCCGCGCGTGCGTGTGACTGCAGGAATGTTAAATGTTTTATCCAGAAAACGTCATCAGCACCATCTGATTAATGCTATTCAGCGTTTTGGTTAAGAGCTAAAGTAAAAATCACGTTTAGCTTCATGAAGAGCTGTTTCAATCATGAGATTTTAAGTGTTCACACTTTTAACTTGAATCCCTGAATATTTGCTCAGCATGAGAAGAAGAACCACACTTCAGATTTAAAAATGGCTCTCTTCACACCAGAGCGCCCCTCCTCTGCCTGCTGCCATAAGTTTAATATCAAAGATCCAGCAACATGCGGCAGGTATTCACTGACCTCCTTATTTGTAGAGAGTTGAGTGAAAAGAGGAAATCGCTGATAAAAATTGTCGTACAGGATTTGTTTCATTTCCTTGTTCGTGCTACCCTAGTAGATCCTATTTTTCTCAAATACATCCTAAAACTTTTAAAAAGTCACTTTTCCTTTCTTTTAACGTCAAACATGTCGGTGAAGGCAGCATAAACACTCATCCCGGGTTTGGGAGGTTCTTTGCTGCAGCTTCAGCGGTTTAAGGCCGGGAAGCAGCTCTCCTTGGACCCCAGCTCAGGCCTATCGGGGCTAAAGCCAAACCTTCATGACAAATGCATCTTCTTAATTACCTTTCCACATCCACACTATCCGTTACTGGGACTAAATCTTGGAGCAGTCTACCACTCAGCATAAGACACATACAGTCATACCGTGTCCTCGTCGTGTCGTGTCGTGTGTTTTCTTTCTGTTTTTCCTAGTTTTACATATAATACTTTTCCTTCTTTCCTTGTTTTTATCCCCTGAGGGGCTGCAGATGTAAATGAGCACTGGTGCTACAATCTGGCTTATTTACTGATCAAATGTGTTGTTGAAGTGTGTTAAGATGCACCGTCCCTATTAAATAAATCTGGTTGCTTTGAGGTTTCTGTCCGCCGGTGTTAGAACCAGAGCTTATAGCCGACAACTCCAGCACGTCGCTCCAAACACGCCTTTCATATCAATCCCTTCTCAGAATCACAGAAGCATCCGTGGGGAACCAGGATCGGTTCAAACTACATCATCGTCAGCTTTTCTTCCTCTGAGGTGGAAGTGAAGTACCAGCGCGAGGGCATCGATCATTTATCATGTTCTTAATCTGATTCCTGTAAAGCATCTTAATGTGAGAAACGCTCTGAGTGCAGCTCGGACAGCTCAACAAGCAACTCTCCCAATTAAAGCACTCAGTAACTGATTTATTGATCACGAGCTCTGATTTGAGTTTGCACGAGCATCAAAAGCTACTTTCAGAAGGCCAGGCAGCCTCGGATCGGAGCTGGGGATCAGGAGTCATGCAGGCACTTGCATTTCTGTTTAAATGCAGTCCTGATTTATCTCCGCTGAAAAGACTAACGAGGAGATTTCTTCCTCCTTGGTAAGTGGAGGCAGTGACTTACTGACACGTTCAGTTAAAAGACTGGCATTTTAGCCTGGGTCAGATCCATTTGCTGGAAAGGACTGCTGACCTTTTTGACCCAGAGACCAGCTCCAATCACATTCCTGCACATTTCAAACCGTATTCATGCACCTCAGTGGTGCGTGAGCGGCAAAGCTCCAGAAACACGAAGGCTTTTGCAGGAGTTGGACACATTTCTGTTCGATCCTAACCCTGAAGTACAGAAAGCAGAAGAACTGCTGTTTGCAGACTTGAGTGACGCGTCGCTGATACAGCCGACAGCTGAAGCACCAAAAACTTCAAACGGAAGTTAGTTTCAGTCAAAAACACAGAAAATAAAACTACTCCACAAACCTTTGAAGCTAATGATGTAACAGAACTATTCAAGGTGTTTAAACACACACGGCGAGCCAGTCTGGGAAACTGAACGTCTACTGGTGCCAGAAAAGTTTCTGGGCTGTTTTTCTGCCAAGAAACAAATGTTTGTGCTGCGGAGACGGTCGGTCGGACTGCTGCCCGCTCACAACCGCCAATAATTCCCTCAGAGTGTGAAGGACCCGCGCACCCTGAATGTTCTTTCCAGCCACCGCCAGCGCTGACTACACAAGCCAGGCTGTCTTTATTGGAAACTGATTGAGTGTAAATCAGCTGTGGGTCGAGCCGGGCTCCGACTGCTGTGATGCTCGCTTAGAGCCGTGGAGCAGATCAGGACCAAATCCCCGTTTTGGTCCTGATCTGGTCTAAATGGTGTCCGCTACTTTGTTCTGAGGTATTTCTAACGCTTCTGGTTTCTCTCCCAGTGCCTGCATGCTGCTGCTACGTGTTTAGGTCCTCCCTAATCCTGCTTTGGCGACGGAGCGAATCCCCTTCACTCCCCGGATGCCTCAGCGCCACACATCTGGCCCCCGGACTCACTGAGCTCTGCAGCCATCGGCCACAAATCAATCCTAAACAGGTCTGTAAGCCGGGATCTTCCTCTTTAGACTCTGGCTTCAGACCAGGAAAGCCGAGCTCACCTGGTCTTTGACTCTAGATGCAGACCGTTGCTGTGGACCGTTGAGGACAGCACAGCATTGCGGCGTTGCTCCACCTGGTCTGGAACCCAACGCCGTAGATCATCTCTCACTGAGAGCTAGGAAAGACCAGCTTTGTTGTTCCGAGCTGCCCAGACTGGAGCAGCTTTTCCAGATGCTGCCATGCCCATCATCAGCAATGCCAACCACGACTTTAGCAACCTGTCGGTCAGTGACGACAGCAGTCTCGACCGCATCTTTACTGAGATCCCAGAGACGGAGACGGTCAAAGTACGTGTAAAACTGCTGATCGGCTCTTTTTAATGACTGGATTGTTTCAACTCTTTGCTCTCTCCGTTCCAGGGCGTGTATTACCAAAGAGCTAAGTTCATCCGTCTGCCAGAGGACCTGCACTCCATCGACCATGCCCTGTTGGCAGTCATCAACGTTGGTGGGAATCGCTACGCCTTTCCTTGGAGCACGCTGCAACAATTCCCCCTCACACGGCTGGGCCGTCTCTGTGGGTGTCGGTCGCTCGAGGACATTGCTAGCGTGTGCGATGACTACGATGAAGCCAGGAAGGAGTTCTTCTTCGACCGCTCTCCATCTGCCTTTAGGGTCATCCTCAACTTCCTGGCGGCAGGAAAACTTCGCCTCTTGCGCGAGATGTGCATCCTCTCTTTGCACGACGAGTTGAGCTACTGGGGCGTGGAGATGGCGTACATGGAGCGGTGCTGCAAAAGGAAGATGTACACTCGCATTGAGGAAGTGCACGAGAAGGAGAGGCGTGAGGAGGAGCGCAGACAGAGGAGCGCCATGCAGCGGGTGCCAGTGGAGGAAACACGATACCGTAAGCTGATGAACTGGCTGAGAGACATGGTGGAGAACCCACAGTCTGGCCTTCCAGGGAAGATCTTCGCCTGCTTGTCCGTCATCATGGTTGTAGTGACTGTCATTAGCTTGTGCATTAGCACCATGCCGGACCTCAGAGAGGAGGAGGACAGGGTGAGTAATCCAGGCCATGCCTCTTCTAAATAATCAATCCCAAACGTATAATGTGTCTCATTAAAGTGTGAGCGATTACAGCTGCCAGCTCTGCCCTCAGCAGGCGTGTGAGCACGGTCCCAAAAGCACTCAAACACTTTTAGATGTTGTGCTGCGTTTTCCTGAAAACTCGGAGCTGCTGGTTCCCGTCTCTTCATTCATCTCCTTCCCAGCCCAGTGGCCCAGTGGTAGAGCGCCCGCCCTGAGACTGGGAGCTCTGGGCTCAGATCCTGGTCGGGTCAGACGAGACCCGACGCCTCCCGGCTTGACCTTCAGCATTAAGGGGTCGGATTGGGGGGGTTAAACCACCAAATGCTCCCCAGCGTAGCCGTGTCTGCAGCTCACCGCTCCCTCAGGGGAGGCGTGTGGAGAACAAATGTCACACACACTGGTGGTGTGTGTGTGTGTGTGTGTGTGTTTGTGTGTGTGTGTGTGTGTGTGTGTGTGTGTGTGTGTGTGTGTGTGTGTGTGTGTGTGTGTGTGTGTGTAAGGTGTGTGTGTGTGTGTGTGTGTGTGTGTGTGTGTGTGTGTGTGTGTGTGTGTGTGTGTGTGTGTGAGAGAGACAACTGCTTTAACTTCTTTAATATGTCAGAACAAAAATTAGATTTGAATTTAATATGTCAGAACAAAAATTAGATTTGAATAATAATTCCAGATCAGAATAAAACATGTCATCCGTGGCTCAGGAGGTAGAGGCTGTCCAGTAATCAGAAGGTTGCAGGTTCGATCCCGGCTCCTGCCACAGAGAGACTGTTGTGTCTTCAGGCAAGACGCTTAACCTGCCTTGCCTGCTGGTGCTGGTCGGGCGGACCGCTGCTCAGCAGCTTTTCTTTCATCAGTGCGCCCCAGGGCAGCGCGGCTTCGTTGTAGCTCATCATCACCAGCGTGTGAATGGGTGGATGACTGATTGTGCTGTAAAGTGCCTTGGGGGGTTGTAGAACCCTGAGAAGGTGGTGTGCAAATTCAGACTATTTACTAAATCTGTGACATGCTGAACTGACTGTAACCACAACATGTTCAATATCTAGTGGGAGCCTGCTGCCACTCTCTTCCTTTCCATGTGTGCATGTGAGTGTGTTGGTGTGTGTGTGTGCACGTGTGTGTTGGTGTGTGTGTGTGTGCACGTGTGTGTTGGTGTGTGTGTGTGCTGCATGCGTGTGTTGGTGTGTGTGTGCATGTGTGTGTGTTGGTGTGTGTGTGTGTGCACGTGTGTGTTGGTGTGTGTGTGTGTGCACGTGTGTGTTGGTGTGTGTGTGTGCTGCATGCGTGTGTTGGTGTGTGTGCTGCATGCGTGTGTTGGTGTGTGTGTGCATGTGTGTGTGTTGGTGTGTGTGTGTGTGTGCACGTGTGTGTTGGTGTGTGTGTGTGTGTGCTGCATGCGTGTGTTGGTGTGTGTGTGCATGTGTGTGTGTTGGTGTGTGTGTGTGTGCACGTGTGTGTGCATGTGTGTGTTGGTGTGTGTGTGTGCTGCATGCGTGTGTGCATGTGTGTGTTGGTGTGTGTGTGCGCGTGCATGCGTGTGTGTCCTGTGATCTCTGTCTACCCATAGCAGCATGGGATAATGAAGCCAGAGCTGCTCACCGAGGCCTGTCCGGTGTCTGAATAATGAAATTGTTTTACTGTAGCTTTAAAAGACGACACTCACAAAGGCGTGCATCAGTACACACACACACACACACACACACGCACACACACACACACGCACACACACACACACACACACACACACACACGCCTTACACACACACACACACACACACACACACACACACACACACACACACACACGCCTTACACACACACACACACACACACGCCTTACACACACACACACACACACACACACCTTACACACACACACACACACACACACACGCCTTACACACACACACACACACACCTTACACACACACACCTTACACACACACACACACACACACACACACACACACACACACACACGCCTTACACACACACACACACACACACACACACACGCCTTACACACACACACACACACACACACACCTTACACACACACACACACACACACACACACACACACACACACACGCCTTACACACACACACACACACACACGCCTTACACACACACACACACACACACACACACCTTACACACACACACACACACACACACACGCCTTACACACACACACACACACACCTTACACACACACACCTTACACACACACACACACACACACACACACACACACACACACACACACACACACACACACACACACACACACACACACACACTCTCTAACTCAGGGTTTCTCAACCTTTTTCAGCTAAACGCCCCCCTGCCATGCTGAGATCCCTTACTCCCCATCAATGAAAGAGAAACGGAAAGTTTTTTGATACAAAAATCATAATAAAAAAATTAATAAATAAATTACGCCTAGAGTTTGAAACTGTTTAATACAAATATGTCATAAAAAAGTATCATAAAAAATGTTTTTAGCTATTAGCAATGAGATATTGTAGGAAGCTAATAATCCTTGGTCCAGTAACTTCGAGCTTCGTGCAAACATACTGCTAATGCTACCTCTAATGCTCCTTAAGCCGGGAGGGTTTCATTGCTTTGTTTGAAAAAACTTGTTCACAAAGCAGGCACATGGGGAGTTGTGGATTCGTGGGTGAAGGAATACATCCATACCGAGTCCACATTGTACTGTCAACACTTCTTTTTAATCTGAGCCATTGTCTGTTATGAATGTCCTGTATCGCTAGCGCCCACCATTAGCATCTCAGCGCCCCCTTATATAGTCTGAACGCCCACTGGGGGGCGCTACAGCCCCCGTTGAGAAACCCTGCTCTAACTGGATCCCTCAGCTGCTCGACACCGCTTCAGTCAGAATCAACACGTGGCCTTTGCTGCTCGTGACTCGCGAGTCACGCTGGGGCTTCTTTCACGAGAAGTTCTTAGATTTCTGCTGAAACTACGTTTTCTCAGGACTTGCAGGATTTTAACTGTAGAGAATGACAAAGTAAAGCTAAGAAACCTCGCGGTACACGGTTCTACGCTGCAGAGCTTAAACTCAGATGTAAGCAGGTTTAAATATTCATACGGGACTTTAAACTGTACTTCTACCTGTTGGATTACTTTCTTCTGATTAGTTACAAGTGAGGACAAAACTATTCCTGCAGACAGGAATGACCTAATGGTAGACGACAGCCTTCAGAATAAACGTGAACTGACAACATCTAACAAATGTCGTTGCTGCCGTGAGCAAAGAGCCGGCGCTGTCCCGGACAGATGGACGTAACTCGGAGAAGATGACTTGAGCCTCGTGACTGAATATTTGGATGTCGGTTCAGATCGAGTCTGAGGTCATTTCCATGTATGCAAAGGTTATTGTTCATTCAGGGTTAGGGCTTTTAACCTTTCCTCGATGCACAGTCCCCCATACCAGTGGAAATGGATGAAATAAGTATTTCAACACAGGCGGCAGAGGGAAGCACGCGTAGCTGGAAACTCGGAATGCTGCAGCCGACTTTTAGTTGTTAGTGAACGAATCCCAGAGAATCGTGCAATTCTCAGAGAGAGCTGCGTCGGTTCCAGTGACTGAGTTCATTACACTGGTGTGTGTGTGTGTGTGTGTGTGTGTGTGTGTGTGTGTGTGTGTGTGTGTGTGTGTGTGTGTGTGTGTGTTTTTGTGTGTGTGTGTGTGTGTGTGTGTGTGTGTGTGGCGCTTCAGGTGCAGAACTGAAACTGTGAGGGTTTTTTTTTAACAAGAAATTCTCAACGATATAATCCTGTTTTCATCCAGGAAACCCAAAGTTCTTCAGATCCACCGGTAGATCTGCTAAAGCTGCTCACTGAAACTTTCTGACGGCTTTATAACTGAAGGAGAAACCGAACAAGTCGAGATGTTTTCTCAAACTCGATCTGACGTTTTTATTCCTCCACACTTGAATTTGATGCCAGTCATGGTTCACTTGTTTATTTTCTTTGTTTGTTTACTTTCTGTGAAACCTTTTTATCCCAGCAATGACCTCGATAATCTCCTGGAGTCAAATCTGCGGCGCCGTGCTCGCTCTGCAAAGCACCGACCGCACGCAGCTGGGAAAGCAGCACCTGCCTGACTCCACATCTCGTCATTGTTCACATGTCAAACGTTCCTTTCAGCCGCACACGCTCCCTTTCATTAGGATCTCTCCCAGGAATCACTTTCCTTCATTGTTCTGCATTCAGGCCGTTGTTTCCCTCGGCCCGAGCTCCACACATTCATGTCTTTCATACTTCTGCTTGGTCACATTCACACCCTCTGTTCCCAGCTCATGGCCAGTGGTGCAGCAGACGCGGCTGTGTCGTCCTCTTTGCAGTAAATTCAGGTGGGATTTGCTGTTTTAATAATGAAGTCCCAGAGCATCAGTCACAAGTCTCTGAGCTGGAGAGACTCGAGCAGAGCTGTGAGGTTTCTGATGCACTTTGTCCTCAAACAGCAACTTTTTACTAACGTTGTTGAGCCTCAGAGCTCGCCTGGACTTCCACTGAAAACCTCCATTTAGACCAGGTTGTCTCTGCCAACAGAGACGGTTTCCTTCTGCCCTGGAAGGTGAGGAGGAACAGAAGAAGTCCAGGTTAAGGACACAGTTAGAGGATATGTGCAGACTAAACCAGCCATGAAGCTGTCCCAGGAGAGCCGTGAAGCTTAAAGACCGTCTGGGACAGAGTGACATAAAACGGGAACATAGGAGACATCCATCAGCGGCACCAGCATGTGGAATACAAACACGTTTATGGCCGACGGGGCGCTTTTTCAGTGTTTTACAGTGCATTTGCTCCTTTATTTAGAGCAAGACATTTTCTGTTTATTGTGCATGAAATAGCTAATAAGACCACGCTAATTTATTTTTTCTTTCAAAGCAGAATTAAATATTATTGATGCAGCAGATGATGATGTCACTGAGCTGAAGCGTTTGTGTTAA